AATTAACCTTTCTTAGCCCATAGGAAAAAATATATATATTGCTCTTAGGGGTGGACTTTTTCCATCTCCTGCCTCATATTTACAAATAAGTCTATAAATGCATTCACCTTTTGGTAAATTGATTGCATTAATGGCCCAAATTAATGGCCTCCCTTTTCTATACCCTCTACCCTTCAATTTTGTAACCCTTCCCATTCTGACCCTGGGGTTTGCTATGAGACTTTCTTCTGTGAAGGCTTGGAAAAGCACTTGTGTGTCTCCACCTTCTTTTCTGGAACCCTACATGGCCTTGAAAAGAATCCCAGTCTAGGAGGATGAGGGCACATAGAGCAGAGCTGAATTGCCCTAGCCTAGGCCAGCCTGTCCCGCCAGCCTCCAGTCAATCCCTCAGCTGACCACAGATCTATGAACAGGCCCTAAGACAAGATTTGCTAAATCTGATCCAGCACAACTGTTTGACCAAATCTCTGGGCACCAAGGTCCAGTCAAGTAGACCCACGAAATTAACCATCACAATTTGCTGTATTCATTTTTTGTACCCATTAAGTATTCACCCTGTTCAGTTATCATATTATTAATATACTCAAGGTATTGATACTGTCAAACAGTCCTTTCTTCTTTGTCCTTATGTTTCATTTATAGCCTTTTTGCCTAGATTGCTTCCTAAGTCTCTGACTGCTGCTTTTCAGTTTTCTATTTTTTTATTAATTTATTTTTGTTACAAATATTTCTCCTTTTTCCCCCACTGACACCCTCCTCTCAACCACCATTGTTGTCTATGTCCATTGGTTATGCATATGTGCATATAAGTTCTTTGGTTTATCTCTTCCCTCCCTCCCACCCCCTTCCTCTGAGGTTTGTCAGTCTGATCTCTACTTCTATGTCTCTGGGTCTATTTCATTCATCAGCTTATTTTGTTCATTATATTCCACAAATAAGTGAGATCATGTGATATTTGTCTTTCTCTAATCGGCTTATTTCACTTAGCATAATACTCTCCAGGTCCCTCCATATCATCTCAAAGTCAGTTTTCTTTATGGCAAGGCTTCCTTTGCCTGCTTCTTCTTCTTCTTCTTTTTTCTTTTTTGTGGTACGTGCCTCTAGCAGGAACCGAACCCAGGACTCTCTGGTCCGCAGGCCAATGCTCTAACTGCTGAGCCAAACTGACCAGGGCCTTTGCCTGCTTCTTAAAAGATCCTTAGGGTTGTGCTTCCTAGACTACCTGGATCCTCTTTGGTACTAGTAGCTTTAACTACCAAATCTGTATCTTCCACTTAGCCTTCTATGCTGAGTTTCATACATTCATTCATCTATTACTAAAATGAGATATATTTTATTAAGTATTAAATACTATGAGGGTTTATGGCAGTGGTTCTCAACCTTCCTAATGCTGTGATTCTTTAATACGGTTCCTCATGTTATGGTGCCCCCAACCATAAAATTATTTTCATTGCTACTTCATAACTGTAACTTTGCTACTGTTATGCATCGCCATCAGAAATATGTGTCTTCCGATGGTCTTAGGTGACCCCTGTAAAAGGGTCGTTTGACCCCAAAGGGGTCGCGACCCACAGGTTGAGAACCGCTGGTTTATGGTAACATCTAAAGTGGCCCCCAAGACCCTCCTGCCTCCTGTTATTCGCACCGTTGTTTTACCCTCCTCTTGAGTGTGAGCTTCTAATGAACAGAATACAGCAGAAGTAATGAGATGCCACTTCAGAAATTAGGTTACAAAAAGACTCTGTCTTTTGTTATGTTCACCTTTTGTTGTTCTTTCTTGGTGCTATCTCATTTTGTCTTTCTTAGAAACCTCGCTCTGGGGGAAGCAAGCTGATAAGTTACGAGGAAAGCCTTATGGAGAGACTCATGTATGAGAAACTTGTGTCTCCAGTCAACAGTCAGCAAGGCCCTCAGGCGTGCACCAGTCATAGGAATGAGTTTGAGAGCAGATCTTCTCCCAATTGAGTCTTGAATTGACTGACGCTCTGGTAGATACTGTTATTGCAGCCTTGTAAAGACTGAGTCAGAGGTACTCAGTTACAATGCACCTAGATTTTTGACCCACAGAAATAATGAGGAAATAGATATTTGTGTTTTTAAGCTGCTAAACTTGGGGTAATTTGTTTTACAGCAATAGATAATTAATACAGGGTTACCCAGGATCCAATGCCATATAAGAACCAGCCCCTGAACTTAATAATCCTTCAGACTATTAGGGATGACAGAAAAGTAGCCATGATTGCAGTACAGTATGATGGGTGTTACAGAACATACATAGCGAGTGAGGGAGGCACAGAGAGAAGAGCATTTCAATCATACTTGAAGACTGAAGGATTCACCCAGCAGATTTTATTTTGTCATTGAAAATGAGGAGAAAAGATGGTGGAATACTTGAGGAGAAAACGAATTTTTAGAACCTCTCCTGGAAAGAATAGTTGAAAGAAACAAAGAATGGTATCTAGGCAGTGTGGATTTGGGTTTGGAGATAATGGAATTATAGGATCTCCTGTTAAAGTTGGGGTTCATTTTTCAAATGCTCTTAGCAATATGGATCTAATAGAGAAGTTGATGGTTGAGTTTTGGATTCAGAGACGATGAAGCAGAAAAGCAAAGGACCAAGGAAAAAAGAACTGAGAAAAAGAGCAAGACAATTCTTACAATTCTGGTTCATGGAATTTAGGTTAAATAGGAAAAGGAAAACAAAGCTGCTCAGAGTTTGGGGAAAATGCAATTAATTCTGATCTCCCACCAATCACTAGGGCCAACTGAGTCTTTGTTATGCTATGTAACTGCCATGTTTGCTTTAAGCCTAGGTCATGTACTCCATTCCTAAATTGGAGGAGACTTCCAGTCAAGGGTGGGAAAGAAATGGTTACCCAGAAGGAAATCCAGATATGCTACTGTGATGTGAATGGATGCTTGAAAAGAGACTGCTAATTCCCTATAACAGTCTCCATTCCTTCTAGAGTAAAGAACCCCTAATTTTTAAGGGGTAGAATAACAACTGCATTTCCTAGTTGCCCATAGTGAGGGATGGCCTTGTAACTAATAAGCTGATCAAAGGGATGTGGTCAGAAGTAGTGTGTGCAGCTTCTGGACTGTGCCCTTCAAGGGAAGGAGATATCATCCAACTATTCCTTTTCTGCCAGCTGGAATGAGTTGTGGTTGTGAGCTGACTTGGGCCATGAGGAAGAGATTACATCCTAGGATAGCGGAACAACAGAAGGAACCTGCAATTCCTGGGTGCTCTCATAGAGGCTTTATGATACTACATGAGGGATAATTAAACTATATATTTTAAGCTGCTTTTAATGTAGTTCTGTGTTTTAAGCAGCTGGACCTATATTTCAACTAATTCAGATGTTCAGTGAAAAAGATAAGGTAAGAATATAAATTACCATAGCATAAGACAGAAAGTAGTAAGCAATAAGCAAAGGCGGGGGTTAAAATTGGGATACTGAAAAGAATCACCTCAAGCCAGGTTGTGAGCTTTCTAAAGAGGCTGAAGTTTCTGCTCAGTAATAGACCCCAGACTATCCCTAGGTGGTGGAATGTGGGCCAGGGAATGTGCCTCCACAGCTCATTCTTCCAGCAGTGCTTCTAGAAAGCAACAGTGATGGAAGCATGATAATGACAATTGGTCGGTGCATCGAACACCCAAGGAACACTGGGACCTTGGTAGACTCTTAAATTAGTTGTGGTTTGGATTGATGCTTCTTGAAAATAATCATAAAAATTTAAAATTTTAGGGGTAGAAGAAATCTTAGCTACTAGAAAAATCTTGTGCTCCAGTGCATTTTTAAAAATTCCAGAGATGCTAAGTAAGTTTTGCACATAGACAATGGAACCCAGGGCTCCCAGCCCAGTGAAGGCTGAGGGTTTGTACTTTATCCCTGTGAAGTGTATCTTTCTCCAGCAAAATTTTAACCTCAAGTTGCTATTTGCAATGTCCCCTTTTATTTTTCCACAAACATACCTTGCATTGGCATAGCACTTTAGCTTTCTGAATATTTTCACTTATTTTCTCATTTGATCCTGACAATAATTGTATGCAGTGAGGATTAAGTAACATTCCTATTTTACTGATAAGGAAATTGAAGTCTTCAAGTGACTTTACCATAATGAAGAGCTAGTAATTGGATGGAATTGAGTATGATGCTCTTTACCAAGTATCCACTTATTTCCGTCATTTTTCCAGCCTTTCTGACTCTTTATTGAGAAAAAATTGGCAAAAGTAGGTTTATAGTTGTGACTACGCACTTGTTAATTCTTGTATTATTATTGATTAATTATCGTAATATTTTCCAAATGAACAACTGTAAACCTAATGTTACCAACTCCACTAATGTGTGGCTCATGATGAAATTGGAGTAAACTTCAAACAAATTATTCAGCGTCTTTTTTTTAATCTAGAACTGCATTTTCCAGTAGGTAGCCCCTAACCACCTATGGCTATTTCGATTTAAATTAATGAAAATTAAATAAAATTAAACGCACAGTCCTCAATCACACCACTCACATTTCAAGTGCTCAGGGTCACACACGGCCAGTAGCTACTGCGTTGGACCGCACTGTACAGAACATTTCCTTCCCATCAGCAAGTTCTACTGGACACCTAGAGAGATGCATGAGAAACGTCTCCCTTCCATCAATCCTGTCTTGTCCTCAGTCTGGGTACAATCCAAGCGGTTCCCAATCACTACCGCTTCCTAAAGGACATTTTGAAAGTGGTAACGCCAACAGAAACCGTCTGGCCTGCTCCTGCTAAGAAGGTAACCTAGTAATAGACGTCCCAGATGCCTCCACAAAACTCAGCTCAGCAAGTGGGCGGCGAAAAGGCAGCCAAGCCCCCAACGCGGCAGCGGAGAGAAGCAAATGGGCGGGGCCGGGCGCAGTCACGAGGCCGGGGGCGGGGCCGCCCGCGGCTGGGCGGGGCCAAGAGGGGCGGGCCTGGGAGCCGGCGGCCAGCGCGCCAGCCCGGCCGTGCGTGCTCACGTGACAGGTCCGCGAGGCCCCGGCTCGCGCAGTCGTCTGGGTGAGCGAAGATGGCGGCGGAGAGGGAGCCTCCTCCGCTGGGGGACGGGAAACCTAGCGACTTTGAGGAGCAGGAGGATGGAGAGGACCTTTTCACTAGCACTGTCTCCACCCTGGAGGTGAGACCGCGTCACCGTGGGTGCTGCGTTCCGCCGCTTCTCTCACCTTTAGGTGCCTTTTCCCTGCCCCGACTTGTCCCTCCCCACCCCCCCGGGGATGCAAGGACCTGGTGGGGACGACACCTGTGACGCGGGCCCCACCTCGGGCACCTGTCAGTGGGCTGGAGTTGGCCTGGGCGGTTAGGCCTTCTCAGACCAGCGGACGGGTCCGGGGGTCTGACCTGATCCCCAGAAGGGCAGGGACTGGACTGAGCATCGCGGCGCCCTTTTCCTGTTCAGCTGGCCGTCCTAGATGTCACTTGCACCTCTTGTTCCAGAGCAGAGAAGGGCTTCCCTGGAGTCCCAGTAAACCTCACCGCTCTCCCCGGCGACCTCCGCAGCCCGTTTGGAAAGGTGCTTGTGTTCCCCTTCCCCAGGGACGGTGTGCCCCCGAAAGGGGAGAGCAGTGAAGTGAGCGCTGAGTGACCCAGCCTCCCCGGGGAGCGTGTGGATGCACTTTCCCCAGTCATGGTCTTTCAAGAACTCCTAGTTCCTCTTGGTGCCTGTTTTCCGAACTATTAAGTAGGCAAATGCATTTGACTTGTTTTGTCTTCTTTAGTTCCAAGGTGTTTTTTGTTTGTTTGTTTTGTTTTTAAGGATCGTAGCGTTTATGAACTCTAAAGTTGAAGGGAAGGGATTAGTAGTCCAGGAAACTTTTGTTTTTTTAAGTTACCAGGAGAGAAATAAAAACAGGTTTCACTCCCTTTTCTTCTTTTCTCGCATGGTCAGCGATCTATGAAACTGAGTGTTCCTGTTTTTGTCAAAGGAAACACCCTCTATGAACTTAACTGTATTGGGTCTCCTATATCCAGTTCATGTTTTAATTGCTTTGCATTTGAGGAGAGTACACGCACCTCATAGCCCACTTTTAAGTGTGCCTATGCGTATTAAAATGTAGCCAAATTTTCCAGAGAACTGTTTACCTCGGGCTGTACTTTCTTATAAACTGTTCTAGTAAGCTTTCTTGGCTTGTTCAACTCTGCACAAAATCAACTGGAAATTAATGTAAAATATCTATTATCTGAAATTCAGTTACCTGACATTGGAACTTCTGGAAATGGTTTCAGCACTGACCACATTCTGCTAATTGTATTTGCAGGTGCTGGACAGACCTTAACTCCCCTCAGATTATGTGCTTCTTGGGGCTATGGATATGGATAGTGCCTTGATCATCTAACTGTTCCTCACAAAATCTTTTTTTTTTTTTTTAATTAATTTATTTTTGTTACAGATGTTCCTCCGGCCTACCCCCAAGCATTGTTGTCTATGTCCATTGGTTACGCACACATGCTCACAACATCTTGAATACTCGGCAGTTAGTAAATATTTGCTGGATTGCCAAAACTATCATCTAAAAACTAGTAAAAATGATCTTGCAAAACAAATTACCTTTTGGGGTTAATATCCTTTTAGCCCTTTATACATATTATACAGCTTCCTTAATATGTATTGAAAGTTAATGGCTATGTGGGATCCTAAGAATTGTATTCCCTTTGAGGGCAGTGAAGGTTTTCCACTAGCAAGGATCTCTGACCTAGGGTAAACTAGAATACTGTGAACACTAATCATCTCATTTAATTGATGTCTTTTAGAGGTGAGTAATAGGAATTATAATCCGTGTTTCCATTTGAATGGGACTTTTAAATAAGCATTTGACCTTTTTTCCAGTAAACGTCTACAGAAGTTTGAGTATGAATAAATTTATCTTGGTTAATGCACTGTGAAAGTTGTAAATAAAGTTGGTTTTGATTATTCATCTAAATTCCTTATTTCATAGACTGATTCATGTTATTAACTGTAAGGTAGTATAACTATGAGATTTATAAATTCAATTTTATTTTATTTTATTTTTTTGCTTTTCAAACTATTTGGAGATCTTAGTGTACCAAATATCTCTAAAGGGATGTTCTTTCAGTACTCCATTTTTCTTTTTAACAGTTCTTATCATACTTCACTATGCAGGAGAAACCACAGTGTAATTGTTTAAAATGCAGATGCCTTTGCCTCACTGGAATTTGCATGTTTAATAAGTGCTCTAGGTCCATGCAAATAAAAAGGAGAGAAGGAAATTGATGCAATAGCAGATTAAAAGATAGACATTTTAGGATTTATAATCATTTTCAGGTGATTTTTAGGAGAAGAAATTGTGAGTTTATTTCACGTGGGAATAAGATAGTACCAATGACAGTAACATGAGATAGCTAGAAATGCTTTATGGGCTAGAGATGTAGATTTGAATGATAACACTAAACCAGACTCTATGTGAAAATATGGTCCCTGCCCTCAGGGAATGTATGAATCCACAGGAGTCAATATAATAAACATAGCTGTGTGACCAAAACCCTGCAATACCAATACCGGGTGATACATGTGTAAGTGAAACATGCATATAGTATGGAAATAATGTAGAAGAATGGAGTGATTTAATTGCATAGATCTTTTAGCACCCTGAAAGTGGGCGACATTAAGAGTAAGTAGAGACTTTTTTTAATCCTCACTCAAGGATATGCTTATTGAATTTTTTAGAGAGAGGGGAAGGAAAGAGTGGTCAGTTGCCTCCTTTAGACCCGGGGAGGCGGGGGGGGGGGGGGGGGGGGGGCAAACCCACAACCTAAGTATGTGCCCTGACCAGACTCCAACCCACAACCTTTTGATGTAGGGGAAGACTCTCCAATCAACTGAGCCATACCGGCCAGGGCAGTGGAGACTTGATAATGAGGAACTAAAGTTTAATGTCTGTTGTCCCGGAGCAACAGGGTGGTAACAGTGTGTAATTTGTTTTCTTAATTCTGTTTTGTAATTTTAGCTAGGCCTTCAACTTTAAATGTATTATTTTTTGAAAATTTCATTATGAATTATGTATGATTCAGAGAAAATACATTTTATGACCAGGTATTTAAAGGCAACAGCATGGAAAATTACTAGAAGGAGATTTATGAAAAGGTACAGTTCTAGTTGACCACTTTCCCTTGAAACCATTAAATTTAAGGATTTTAGAATAAATTATTTTTTAGTACGTATAAAAATATTCTCCGGGGGGGGGGGAGGAGAAACATCTGTAACAAAAATAAATTAATAAAAATTTTAAAAAATGTTATTCTCTGAAGTTGCAGAGATGGTCAATTTTTTTTGCAGACTTTCTTCTTAAAAAGATAAAATTATTCTTTAATGCGTACTTTCCTATGAAATTGAACTCTCGTGTTTTCCCCCCTGTGATTATAGTTTTTAGCTGATACGACATTTACTTTTATTTAGTAAAGTTCACTATCACCTCAGTCAAGATATAGAACACATCCATCACCCCCCAAAAATTCTCTCATGTAGTTAACCTCTTCCATTCCTAGTCTCTGGTAGCCACTGATCTGTTTTCTGCCTATAGTTTTGTCTTTTCTAGAATGTCTCATAAATGGAATGAAACTTTTTAAGTCTAGCTTCTTTAACTTAGCATAAAACATCTGAGGTATATCGATGCTATTGCATGTACCAATAGTTCATTTATTTTTATTGCTGAATTTGTTGTATGTATCATAGTTTATTGTTAAAGGACATTTCTCTTATTTCCAGTTTTTTGGCATTAATGAGTAAAGTCAATATAAAGATTTATGTACAGGTTTTTGAATGAACATAGTTTTTCTTTCTTTTGTGTAAATACTTAGAGGTAGGATTATGGGTTGTATAGTTAATGTATGTTTAACTTTGTTTTTTTTTTCTTTATTATTTCAGAGAGAGAGGAAGGAGGAGAGAGATAGAAACATCAATGAGAGAGAGAACATCGATTGACCGCCTCCTGCATGCCCCTCACTGGGGATTTAGCCCACAACCTGGGCATATGCCCTGACTGGGAACCAGTGACCTCTTGGTGCATGGGTTGACTGAGCCATACTAGCTGGGTTATATATTTAACTTTGTAAGAAACTGCTAAACTTTCTCCCAGAAAGGTTCAAAGGAAGTAAGGTACAGAGAGATGAAGTCATTTTCTTTTAGTCCCATGAGTTAATGACTATAGTATAATATAAGTTGAGACCATATTCAGTAGGATGTTGTAAGAATCAATTATCTGTGGGTTCATTAAAACAAATGCATGATGCTTCAAGAAAAAAGCATATTATTATATTTCCTTGTATCATAAAAGTTATTTTCATATCAAGTTTTATCCCTAGTCAGAGAGTCATGCTTTGCATATATTATTGAGTGTCTGAATCCTGAAGGCTAGCATTCATTCTCTGAAATCTTACAAAATTTTGAAAGATTCTAAGAGAGGCAGAAAGAAAACTGCCAAATTGTTTTTTCAAACAGCTGTATCATTTTGCATTCCCATCAATAATGAATGAAAATTCCAGTTGTTCTACATCCTTTTTAGCACTTGTTAGTGTAATTTTTATTTTAGGCAATGGTGAACTTAAGGCTAACTTATACTGGCTCAAAAAATGATTGTTCAATTTTTAGGAATTTTGTAAACTGATTAGTTAATACAGCCATTGTTAAAAATTAAATTATATAAATTTATAATGAAATTATATTTAAAACAGGTAATAAATGTTTTAAACTTGTCACTTCCTAGTTCCTTTACTACCTTTTACTGTTTTCTATGCGTTTGAGGTTATATATCTATTGTATCTGTCTGAATGGTGGAAAGTACATATTTTCACAACTTAATCTTATGAGGGGTAATCAGCCACAGCGGGCATCTTTACCCCACAGAAATCTGCGAAAGCTAAGGGTCTTCTCTCCATAAGACCTGGTTGCTAAGTATTTACTAGCACACACTGATTTTTAGCCATTCTAATAGGTGTGTGGAGTTCTCTCATTGTGGTTTTAATGTATGTTTTCTAATGATTAATGATGTTGAATATATTTCCATGTACATAGTCACCCTCTGAAAATTATTTTTGGTGAAATATCTTTTCACATATTTTGCACATTTTAAAAATTGTGTTTCCTTACTGAGATTTTAGAATTCT